ATTGTTTTGCCTGTTAAATTCTTGCCCTTTCTGAAAAGTTCCCAGATTCCACATCACTCTGGACAGGACACTTGTCCACTGGAATTGAATTATCCGTTGTGTATATTAATGGGAGTTACGTCCTCTGGTTCCTTCTACGTGCTCTTTGTTTGCACGTCACCGGGGCACTCCTGTGCTCCCTCGTATGACCAGCTGCCACCAGTTTTGTACAATTTCTCATCTTTTTCCTATTCCAGCTGTCACACTCCTCAATCATGTTCTCCACCCTATTTTTGAAATAGGTGCTGTCGTTTTCTGTGCATTTATATCACGCCTAATACGTGGGAGGGTTCTGGTTTCTGACATCTGTCTCATTAATTTTAATCTCAGTCAATGATTATTTGGGGTGGGGGGGATTGTTTTGTATGCTATGTGTATAATTACAGTGGATTTTCTCTCTTACCACCCTGGTACATTGATACTAAGAGTCTATTACTGTATCAAAATAATTTATCCTGAGAAATTATTACTGGTGTGCAGATTCCCATTGACTCCATTTCTTGTTAAAAAGTCACAAGATGCATCTCCCTGGTTTGGGCTGAGCTGACCCTCCTCTGCACTTAACATAAGAGAACACGTAGCTGTGTGCACACTTGCACGCAGACGGCGCTCATGCGTGCTGACACAGCTCCTCTGACCCCCTCCAAGGTGGACACGCCAGATGCAGCAGAGCTGGTCCCAGAGGAGGCACTCCCACCTCTTGCAAGCTCTTAAGTTCTCTTCTCACCAGCCAGAGTCTTTCAGAAGTATTTTCAGAAAGGCAGGTGCATGCGGTTGTGGGGGACAGCTTGCTTTGAGTTACGCTGCCGTTTCACCTTACAGCAGCCATGCTCTCGAAGGGCAATTATCTGTGTCGTAATTAATGAGGGAGTTTTCTCTAAAACTGCAGTGTGGTTCACACAGCTTCCAGAAGATTAGTTTGTTAGTTACTGACTAAAATATTTGCAGATGTACTTTGCTGTGATAACATCTCTGACCGGAGGTGACTCATTACAGACTCAGTAGTGAAGATCTGCAGGGCCAAAATGGGACTGCCTGACCCAGAATTTTAGGCTCCTCCAGCGGCCAGCATGACCCCAGAGTCAGCCAGGGGAACTTTGCTGTTGGCTTTAACTTGCAGCGAAGGTCTGAGGTCAGGGCTGGGCCAAGGAAGAAGTCCTTTTGCCTCTTCTCCTCGCTGCTGCCTGTCTGCGGTGGCAGGGAAGGGGGGGCAGTGGTCACTGGCTCCCCGTACGAGCCGGGGTGCTCTTCTTGAGGGGCGCGGAGCGCAGATGCCTTGGCTTGTGAGCTCCCTTTGTGGAGTACAGAGAGCAAAAGTGGGCCAAGTGATACCAAGCAGTGCAACAAAGCTCATGCTTCCTTAGTACCACATTTCATGGATTAAAGGTGAGCTTTAGCCTCGGAAGAAACCAGGTCCCATTAGCTTTCATGCTTTTTTCCTTTTCTGCAATGTCTGTATAAGCATTTTTTTCATAACAAGACCTTGTTACCAAACACTGGGTTGCATTGCAAACATGCAGCAGTTCTGCCTTTTGCAAGTCCCCAAGACATGGGATATACAACCTAACTCCTTTGTCTGGAATACTCATACTAATCAGCTTTGATTAGTATCAACCTTGAACATGTTACTCCAAATTTAGCTGTAGGAGAGTCAGAGCTACAGCCCGTGAATAAAACTGGAATGGATTTGAGACTATACACTTGGCAGTGTAAATTGTGAAGCATAAGGTAAGTATTTTTTAGAAGGCATTTAAATTAATGTCTTCTGATGGTGTCTGCAGCAGGACAGCGCTTGAAGACTTGTTAGCTAATAATTCATAGTGAATACCTGCTGTGTGTGACTTAGCAGACGGCGTGAGTAGGGACTGAGCCTGTTCACATGCACTGGGTTTAGCCGTACAGCACTGGAACTGAAAACCATAACACACAGAGGGAAATCTGAATTAACTCTGGGACCCTTTGACCTCTGAGTAGGAGCAGGGCACTGCTTCTTCAAAATGCATGAAGTGATCAAGGTTTTAGCAGTAGAGGGTGTAGCTGTTTCTTCTCAGGGCCTTGTGTAAAAACTGCTTGGGAATTAATCCATTGCTTTGTTTTGGCATCCTTTATACTAACAGAGAAATGTTGAGAACAAACATATTACTGAAAGCTCCTTCTGTGGTACCAGACCTTCAGTTAGGAAGTACAAGACAAAGGAAAAATAAAAAGAAAATTCATTAATCATACCTTACCGTATGTAATCAGATTAGAATTGTCTTCAGTTTTACTGGCTTAATAAACAGTGTGTCTATCAGAAGTGCTTGTTTCAATGATGCAAAAATAAGAGTGACTGCTTTCCTTTACATGTGTTAAGTGGTTTACAGAAAAGACAATTCTGCACCAAAATTAGCATGAAATTTGAAAAGCTCATCAATGCTTGAAGTTGGTCATGAAATGAGCAATGTAATTCCTTCACATTGCTCCTAATGCCGTATTTGTGTTTATGGATATGTTGGCCTTGGTTGATGGTAGGTTCTGCTTTTGTAATTTAATTTTATTTCTTTCTTATTATAGGCACGTGGCTTGCAAATATAATAAAAAATTTCTGTGAATATTACTTTGGGAGGCAACTGTTCCTTAAGGAAGCCTTAAAACCCGTGTTTGTTTTGTTTATAAAATATGCACGATGTAAATAGTCCCTGGCAGATCTCCTGCAAGGCTGGGTTTGTGGTGACATACAGGGACATTATGATCCTTCAGGTCAGGCAGATCTGAGTGAGTACTTGGAAAGAAGCGTGACAAACTTCCACCTCTTTAGGGGCTTTTTAGGGACTTATCTGATCCCAGGTACAGTGACAGAACGACAGGCGTTCCCCGTTGCCTTCGTAGCTAAGGGACAAGGTAAAGTAAGTTTGCAACAAGTTTGCAGAAAGAACTATACTGTTTATACGTGAAGGGAGTTTCTGTGTGTGCGTGGCTCGCTTTATCCTTGTGTCTCTGTACTAGACTGTGCTGTCCTGCGGCAGTACAGGCAAGCTGCCTAGGTGCACAAAGTGCGGTGGAGGAGTTGTGGTTTATGTCAGTTGAGGGTTTTCTCCTGTAAGGAGGAGTAGCCTTAGATGGAGAGATGTGTTGTGTGACTGAGATTTTTCTTATTTGCTTTGTTCTGACCATTAGATCAGCTGCACTCTTTGTACTTCAAAGGCTATAAAATGACACATAAACACACTATATGGTGTATCCATCGTGAGCTTACTTAAGTCTGCAGCATCTGGGGAAGAGATGACCAGAGGCACCCAATCCCTGGGGCCCCTGCAATGGTAGAAGATGGATGAAGTGAGGTAGGTCTGAAAGACAGCCGTGGACAAGCCATACCCCAGAAGGCAGAAGGGTGAAAATCCCTGATTCCACCCTAGAAACTCCTATTCAACCCTGTATTGGGCAAATCGCAGGAGAGAGCCATCTGGGGATATTTCTCCATGCATCCATCCTTTATTCAGCCTTATGCAGTCTCCTTTCTCCTGACGTGGCCCTTCCCAAGCGTTCAGATGGTGGGGAAACAAGAAACAGAAGCACAGACAAGAATACATCTATATCCACTTGTAAAAGCACTCCTTCCTGACCTCTCGGCGTGGCTGGCTGTGCAGTACCCCTGAAGCAGGCAAACTGACTGTAGGTTTTGTTGCTGCAAAGCTGCATCAAAGCTGCAAGGGGTTCTTGGAGGGCAATGCAAAGCTGCTCTTTTTCCCCATGGTCCATAAAGAGAAGCCATGAGTAAGGGAACTGTTACCTTTATTCCAAGATCAAAAGGGACCCCATGACCATATTCTTTTATCTTCTGCAATTTTCCCTAGACAGTGCATTGAAGTATTTATTATTTACTATAATGTATATTATAAAAACTGATACTATAAAAGATAGCTAATCCACAGTTTTGAAGTCCAAGAATGTCTATTTAAGAACTACTTTATCTGTTTGGATGTGGTCCTGGGCAACTGGCCCTGCTTGAGCAGGGGGGTTGGTCAAGATGACCTCCAAGGATCCCTTCCAACCTCAACCACCGCTGTGATTCTGTGAGCCCCATGCTCCAGTCCCTACCTTCTCTGATAAACTGTCCTTGTATTTAATTCCTCACTGTTTGGTTATTATTCACATAGTCTGATCTCACAGCTACAGTAGAGAATTCTGAGCTTTTGGTTCATTTGGGTTTGATAAAGTGTTCTATTTTGTTTATGTTTGAGTAGTGACTTTATGCAACTTAATGTTACTAAAGATGGAAGGTGATTAAGCCCCCAATTTGATTTGCCACCATTTTTGCATTTTGCGTTATCTTTGTATTGTGCACTGCTGCAATGTCAGTGGGACATTACACATTCATGAAGTTAAGCAGGTCAGTATGTGCTTTTCTGGGTTAGGACCAGAAGGTTTGGAATTCATATAAATGATCCCTTAGTTATATTTTGCTAGACCTAAAGGATGGGAAAATAGGATAGAAAGGATTATAATTTTCTGCTGATTCAAAAAATGTTATTTGGCAAGAGTGCTATTGCTTTCAACTGCAAAATCAGAAGAAATGTATCTCCATAAGAGAACAGTGAGATGACTCTGCAGTCAGCTCAGATATGTTAATTTGGGTTATGTGTGTAGAGCAAATGATGCCAGCATAAGCAAACCTCACTTAATTCTTAACAATTACCTGCAATTTATGACAGAATTATCATGATGTAGCTCTTGGAAGAATCTTAATCAAACTGAACTGGGTTGACATATTGTCATACAAGAACAAAGATGTCCATGAGAGAGAGAGGTAGAGAGGGGTATAATTCTATTCTCCAACTTTGAAAGTGAACATTTTTAATGTAATTTCTTGTAAACAATGTGACATTTGAAAGAAGTAGAAGTGGCCTAGTCTTAGGAAAAAGAAAGCAAGTCTTGCGTTCCTTCATCCATTCAAATAGAGCTTGAATTGTTTCATTTATAAGGGATCTTGGAACGACATTGTCCCATCTCCATGTCCTGTGGATGGCTCACTGTGGGCTCTCAGATTTAGATGGGATCTCCTCCTGCAGCTCTCTAAAAGTAAGTGTGGATGTGTCCTGCCAAATGACAATCTCAAAACGGTCTTCACTTGATACTCTTTACTTGTAGTCTTTGTTCTCTTCTTACCCTTTGTTTTTTCTAAAGGACTTTGGTCGGATGCCTTGAATTGCATGTGTTAGTTTAAAAGACACTACAGTATTTATTTTTTTAAACGAGGTGTAACATTCAGGACTGATCCTGAAGATGCCTAATGCAGCATAGTGCTCGTTGCCGTATCAGCCCTAGTTATTTAAGGTGGCAACAACCACACTTGAAAAATGCCCACTTGCATGCTAATTCCATGCTGTTCCATGTAATATTTCAAACATTTTGCAAAGATTGGGTGTTACTTAGGCAACCCCATGGTTTACACCTTTATTCTCTTTACTTCTGCTGAGGAACTCTACGTAGCCTATAACAATATCTCTGACCTGAGCCAGCTGACCTGGTTGGATCACCTTGAGGTTTTGGACCTGGAAGGGAACAATATTGAGGACATCGACCAGATGCAATACCTGGGACTCTGTCGCAAGCTGAGCCGCCTGACAGTGGAGGGCAACCTTATATGTCTGAAGCCAAATGCAGAATCTGCAGAGGTGAGGACTTGGTTTGCACATACTGTGTAAATTTTTGGCAGTGCTTTTTTCAGTTTGAGTTGGAAATGAGAAACATTTCTGCACCTTCCTATTGTATCATTCTGAGTGATGACACGGGATGCATTTGCCATCTTTCAGTCCTGTTGATTTTGTCCTCTTGTGGGTATTGTCTCCAAGATGAGCACAAATGAAATACAAGGAGTGCTAGTAAAGACTCAGGCCTGTTTCCTAGCAATGTGTTCCTTCTTACCTGTGAGAATGGGATTGAATTAGAAATCAGCTGTTCTGATCCATAGAGCTGTTCTGTCTTCTCCCAGCTTGAAGTGCAAACAGGCATCTTAAAGGAAGACCAAGGAGAGCATGGACCCCAGCTGTATGGATCCTTCCAGCCTGTAGGGACCTGGCAGTGGGTTAGAAAATAGCCAATATCTTTCTTCCAAGATGTGCTAGCTGCAACATCTCCATTAGATATCTGTCTTTGGGCTTTTTCATTTCTTTTGGATGCTCTTTGGTTCAACAGCAAGTGCTCCAGGACCACCACACTCAAAAGTTGAACCCTTGGAAAAACGATGCTTGAGATAACCCGGAAAAGCTATATTGTAGGAAGTCCTTGTTGTCCTTTCCCCTAAAAGGTTAAAATCAAATGACAAAAAAGACCTTCAGCAAAATCTGAAGTTACAAAATACAGTGATTCACCTCTTATGTACTGAAATGATAAAATAATTTCTGCAGAGGTATTTTGTTGAGAGCACGAGATCTTCTGTCTCTCAAAGATAGAAACACAGTCATACATGCTCTGCTTTGGGTTTCATGGGACTCAACAAGAACCGTAAGGGAGATCTAATTCTACGTGAGCAGTCTCAGAGCTGTATTACTCTCTTTCACTTTTCCCTGCTTCAAAAAAAAAAAAAAAAAAAAGCATTGTTGGGATATAAAAACAAGCATCTTGTCGTGTTCTGAAGAGGTAGCTGGAGGACAATCAGAGTTGAAAAAACTTGGTCAAATAAGACTGTTCCTCATTTTGGTCACGTAGTATCTAAGGCATACCATCAGACGACAGTTTATGGCCAGTGCCCTATATATTGTCATCCAGGTCTTTTGGAAGGCGGCGGTCCTGTGCACGCACCCAGAGGTGTGTGCTGGGCAGGGCAGCACTCGCTGAGGGCGGCGCCGTCCCTGGTGGCGCCGTCAAGAGCTGATGACGCCGGGGTTGGAAAGCGGAGCAGGGCTTGGTGCTGTGGCTCCGCTGGGCCGTGTTCCATAGCTTCACTGGATCCTTCGGAGTGATCGTGACCGTGCCATTAATTTGTGCAACAAGTTGAGTAAAACGTAAAAATATTTGTCCTGGATTTAGACTGGAAAACTGAGGTGCTATCACTAAAACTCAATCGTGTAGTACACATATTTTAAATCCTCGCACTTTTTAGGTATATGAGTTATTAAGATTTTTCAGGTGTGATTGTTGGCTTGATCATATCCCTCAGTAAAAGGAGCCACAGGAGGCAGTGCTTTAGCTATCATACTTTTCCTCTCTAGAATCCAAAAGAAAATATTATACACTTGCCTTTCTGTTTTGAACTGGTAGAAGTATACTTCAGAAACCACACTTGTAACTATTTGTAACCAAAATGATTTCTCCATCAACAGTTCTCCCTTATGGAAGATGCAATCATGAGAGGAAAAAACATACTCCTGCTGTCAGGAAGCACTGCCTGCTTCTGATGGACAAAACATGCCTACTTACTCTTTTCACTCCCACGGAGACCAGTACAACTTCTGACAGTTCCTTATCATAGCTTCCTACCACGGCAATGGTGCAGTATATCCTAACAGCATAGAAAGTCTGTTTCTACTCCCTTGTCATTCCTGCTCAAGGAAAGTGGTGTTTTTGGAGGGCGTAGTTTTCACTTGACGTCTTCAGCCCTTAAATGTAACGGAGAAATACCCAGTAAACGAGCCCTTGCTTTGTTTAGCTGAGGCAATCAGTCCTTGGGATGCTGCTGCATGTTGTCACAGAACGGGAGGTCAGAGAGGAGCCGGGTGTGGTGGTGTGCCCTGCCGCTTCTTCTCCACACTGCCTGGCTGTCTCTGCTCCTGTGCAAGTAGTTGCGTTCGGATGCCAGGGAGAATTTGCCGACGGAGTCTGCGCGGCGGTATGTTTTACACGGAGCTGTAACAGAGGCAGCCTGCCAGTTCCCTGTAGTCTCCCATCCAGTCTCCCTGTTGGGAAGCTGCTCAGCCCTGGGCGGTCACAAAGCCAGCCCTGCCCCCCCCCGCCCTTCTCCGTGGACTTTGTCACTTTCTGGGTTTCAACCGTTGTTTGCATTCCTTCAGGGCATAGCCAAATCAGCTGCAGTATAGAAAAGAATAGATGTGGGCTTACTTTGACGTGCCCTAGATGGCCAGCTCTAATTCCTCAAACTCCTGCTTGTAGTCTGGCCCTTGCTACAGCTCTGTAAAAGCTCTCCTATTTATTTACTTTCAATCTACAGAATGGTGCAGCTAAATTTACCACTCTCTCTTCAGACAGCCTGTTTGCTCTCTGTAATTTGATTTTCAGATGAGCTCATCTCCCCCTTGTTATCTAAACCAAGAGCAGCAACCTGATGATAAATTCTGCAGCCTCTGTTGCAGTAATGTAACATGAGCGTAACACGATGCTTCTCTCCACCAGGACATGGCTGGAAATTGGCTGTAGCCCAGGCACTGTTCAGAGTACATGTAGCATGGCGATTGGTTGACTCATTTTCTAAATTAAGATTAAAGGCTTAGTTAGAGAAATTTAGTGTCTCTGCCTCTTAACAACAACAAACACACACTTTGGTGAGTTCCCTCTGCCAGGCTGGGTGCTGCATCACGCGGAGGGAGGGAGCATACAGGCTGCCAGGTCCCACAGAAAGTTTTCTGTCTGTGACAACTCCATGTTTAATGACAATGTGGCTTTTTGCGGTTTTTTAATATTGCACGCAATGTCTTGAAAAGTGTAACGTTTATCTGGATGAAGCAATTGATTTGTATCTAGCTGGCCATTCATATTTTGCCACCAGCAGTGCACTCTTCCTTTATACTTTAAGAGATTGACATCACCATTTGCTGTCTTTTATAATCTGAGACTACTTTAACCAAAAATATCCCCGTTGCAAATCAGCACAACCCAGTCAGCCCTGAGGTGTTGCTAAGATTTCCCAAAGAGGAAGGTGCCATGTGAAGGTGTCTTTCTACTGCTGGAATTCACCAAGACAGCCCAGTTCTCAGTGTGCTCCAGGCACGTTTGTAGCTGTTCTGGACTGGCCTTGCTGCTCAGAGGTCCCCAGGCATTGGCTTGTGCCCGTGAATCATTTTATACCATGTCAGCTCCACGCAGGCATGCAGAAGGGGGCTGCACCCACGCTTTCCCCCGTGGCTGTCACACGGAGCCCGCGTGCATTGGGAGCATTCGCGTGGGTTTTCCAGCACGCAGAAAAGAAACCAAAGTGCAGTCCAGCTGAGCCTTCTGAGCACCTGCTGTCGGCATGCGACCTCCTGCAGAAAAAAAAAAAAAAAAGTAGTTTGAAGGAAGCCATCGCTTCCAACACTGTAAAATCACACACCGAACCCCTGAAGACTGCCCCAGTTCATTCACTGTAGCTGGTTTATGGGTGTGCCCCAAAGCACGATCCATGGAAATGCTCTTTCTTCTTCCATCAGCAGGTGTAGCAACGCTCATAATGTTTTCAAGTCTTCCCATAACCTGAGTATTGATGCAGCAGTCAGAGGAACTGCAAAAGCAGGGAGAGAGGCTGGCTGAATGCTGAGGGTGCCCACGCTTTCCATGGGCATCAGTGGCTTTCTACGCTTTTGTACCTTATACGTAATATAACACAGACAAATGCCAAAGTCATCAGTGGATAAACAGCAAAGGAGCCTTTGGGCAGGGGGCATGTTTTTGCACGGCTCAGGACGTGTTCACAACCAATTTGAGTAGAAATTATGTGATGAGAAAGCACAGTTAAATGAAATTCTTGGCTGTATTTATTTCTATTGAATGAAGTGAATAGGTTTGCCTCAGAGAAGGCATTTCAAGTTATATAGCAGTCATACAAATTGAACACTGCTGTGCTGCTGGTGGAAGTCCGCAGTCTGTTAAATAAACCATTCAAGTGACCACTTTCTCAATTTCTCCAGGAACCAGATTATAATTATAGAGCTGAAGTAAAAAAACTCATTCCCCACTTGGAGTATTTGGACGAAATACCAACAAGCCAGACTGCTCTCCTTCCTTCCAAGAAGACACATGAGGACTGGCTGATCATCAAGGAATCCATCAAGGAAGGTAGTTTAGCTGGAGACGTTTCATGGTTAGGTATGTCAGGTTTCCTACTGGGGTTCATTTTTCAGGTTATGATGTGTGAAAAAGAAAGATGAAGCACAAGCTGACCTCTTCAAAGATGACATTTAATTATAGTGAAGGGACAAAGGACATTGTCCTCTTCGCTTGGGAAATGAGGAAGCTGGAATTCAGCACAGTGCAAATGAAAGGTGTCCTAAGCTGGGCATCAAGCTCAGAAAAATGCAAGTGACTTCCAGAGCATCAAGTAAATCCAACAGTAGCTGGGAATCTGTACTTATTCGTTCTGCGTGATGGGAGAAAGCAAAGCTCGGATAGGAATGTTCAGCAACAGCTGTTCACAGCCCTTTCCGTGGCAGCAGTCAGTCCCGTGTAGGGTGGATGGTGCGGGATTTCCTGCTCCAATTTAATAGTAGGAAAAGCAATTTGGTCACCGCCCCTCGATGATGGCAGCGTCCTAGCAACTGAGATTGCGTGGTCTCGTAAGAGATCTGCTCCATTTTCTTTACCTCTGTGATTAAGTCCATTACATTCATTCATAGAGAGTAAATGGCTTGAAAATAAATCCGTTGTCCCCTTGCCTGTAGCCTTGGTTATAGTTCAAATGTCCATGCTTTTATGTATCATGCTACATGCACTCTACCACATACCATTAAATATTACAAAGTATTTCCTATAACTGCTCCTGTTGCTTCCCATTAGTGTGGGCAATGCAGTTGGCTTCCCAGCCCCCCCAGTTGTGGTTTGCCTGCCAACTGCACTCCATTAAAAATTTAGTTTGTTTTGGAATAAGTACATACGTTTGTCATTTATTTAATCCCTGTGGGTCCAAATCATTAGTTGTAATAGTAGTTATGGTAGGGAAAAAATCCATTAAGATCTGATCCTTCAGTGATCCTGCTTTGGCAATACCAGCTATGGTTCAGAAAACTAGTTAACAAAGTGAGCTGAGAGAAACAGTAGGGATGGAGCACAAAAGCGGGAATTGGTGTTGTTTCCTAGTGTAACCAGACTTACATTCTTGCCTTCAGCTCTGAACTGATGAGCTCATATGGTCAGGTTCAGACAGAGCCATATTTTTTTTCTTTCCTATAGCAACGTTGACTCTGGTATTTTTCACACGCTATTTCATGGGTTTGTATTAACAACTACGGCCAAGATATTTTAAAGGTTCCTAACGGCTATATTATTACAGAGCTGATTGCTCCACTGTGGAGCTGGTAGGTACTCAACACTTTACAAAGCACACTATTCATCTAGGCACCGAAATGAAATTTGCTCTCCTCTGGTTTGTTGGCTGCACATGCTGCTCTCTCAGCTGTGCCGGGCTCCCAGGACAGCCAGCGGTTGGGCAGGTAAGAGGACAAGGCTCTGTCTGCCTTCGCTAGCTTTTGTATAATCCACCCTGCCCTGTAGCATTACAAAACCTCATTTTTTGCCTTTCTTTCTGTGGTAGAGAAGTAACTGCCTCTGAGGCAGTACTGGAACAATCTGTCACTGCCATTCCCTGATTGCCATAACTCCTGGGATGTGATTTGCCCTGATTGACTAACAGCTCTGGTAAGGTGGCCGTCACCACCTGTGTTGTGCCTGGGCATTTAAGCAATATATTTTGAGACTGGGGGCTTGGACTGTGTCCTGTGGCAAGCCCGCGGTGGTTCCCCCGCAAGCAGGAGGGCAGCAGGTGAAAGGCAGCTTCCTCTTACCCTAGGCATGCAGGCAGGGGAAGTAGCAGAGCCCTGGACACATCCAAGCTCACCCGTGGGGCAGTCAGAGGCGGGTGGTGAGCACAGGGTGGTTCCTGACCCTCTGCCCAGCCAGCAGCCTGGCTCTGGTGCCCAGGAGCAGGAAGAGGGCAGAAAGGGACATTGGTTTATTTGGGGGTCCCCACGTTCTGCCGTCTGCAGAGGACGTCTACGAGGGACTGTGTACAGCACCAGGAAGCCCTCTGTCTCCAGTCTCAACCCATTCCAGCATGTTTCTTGTAGCTGTAATGACATATTTTTTGGTCCCTTGCAGCTCCAAGTGTGCAGCAGCAGTCATCATATTGGCAGTGTATGGTGGTGGTGTGGTTTGGAGCATCGCACGACTGTGCTTACACCAGCAAAACCTCTCTCTTAGGTCCGTATCTTGGGGCAGTAGCAAGGCAGTCTGGATGCAGCCTGGGACCCCTGACAGCTTCCAGACCTGGAACTGCACAGTGGTCTGCTAACGCAGGGAGATCTCGCAGTGCCCACCTCTTGTGCAGTGGCTGTCCTCTTCCAGGTCACGCTGTTTCTGAGGAGCTGTTCACAGAAGATAGCTCCAGTGATTTGACACATGGTAATGTATGTTTTTTAATCCTGTTCTTTCCCACACCTCCACCTCCTTCCGAATGTTATTATTGCTGATGAGGGCCTGGGTGCTTTGAATACCACCCACCCGCGCCGCTGCTAGATCAGGTTCAGAATATGTTTCTTCTGTGGGACTGGCCTTCTTTAGAGTGGGCTTTCCTTTGTTTCCCCCTGCAGCAGAAGGCACGAGTCACCTGGGCTTCCCGCTCCTCTGCTCCTCACCCCCATGCATTATGTGCTGCTGTCCCTTCTTGCCAGCCCCACACTGCGATGGTGCTCCCTTGCTGAAGTTGCCTTTCACACCTCATCAGAAGCTGTCCCCAGTCCTTTCAGCCGCACGCTAGCCCAGCTGGGACTCACTCAGGTCACCTCTGGGCGCATCATTCAGTCACAGGCATGTGGTGTGAGGTGGTCCTCTGGAAAGGCATGGTGGTGCACCTTCACTCCCCGTTGGCTCGTGTGCTCCAACTATGCATACTGCGGGCCCGTACTGCAGCAACACTGCTGCTGTCAGTGAGCACGTTCTTTTGGGTTTCCAGAAGTGGGTCCCTCAGCAAGAGGAGTCAGTTCCTTGACTCCACATACCTGATCTACAGGCTAGCCCAAAACACGGGTGTACCACTGCCCTTCATGCCCTGGCCACCTGGAAGTACCTGCCAAGTTAGCAGCTCCTGGAGCCAGCTGCGTGGAAAAGGAGTTCAATTCTGATGCAATATTTGGCACTTCCCAAGACATCCTTCCCTGGCTCCTGGAAAGACCTTGACGGTGCAACTCCAGCAGCCTGTAGAGTGCAGATTAAATAGGAAGATGTTTGGTGTTTGTTTTCCCAGCACTGTGAGCTGCTTCCCTCAGGTGCCAGTCCCACCTCAGTTCCTTGCTGTAGGTAGGACTCAGGATCATAAGCTAGTTGAAGCAATGCAGTGTCAACAGCTGAGAGCGCATTCACAAAAGTATGTGGAAACAGAGCACAGCTTGCCAGGGAATGAGACCACAATTTCACGTGCACTTTTAGGTAGCTAGCGCTGCTGATAGAGACAGTTTCACCCGGTGGTCACCGCTTCTTCCTGCCCCTTTGCTGCCTTGTCTCTTGTTTTGGCAAGAGCACCTGCACAGCCACACAGGGAACCTGATTCTAGTCAAAATACAGCTGAAAAATAACCCAGCAAAACAAACAAACAAACAAACAGCATATTTAGTTTTAAGCTGGATCTGTTCCCTGATCTGACTTACCATGTGGCCATGCAAATGTTTGCACCAGCGCAGTGGCAGAGGCAGGACAGGAGGAGAAGGAAACAGATTCTGGTAGAAACAGAGAAGCTGCCTCCTCTGAGCAGCAGTGTCAGACCATGCCAGCTGACACTGTGAACTTCTGCCATGAAATATTACATCTTCCTGTCTGTGGGAAATGATGTTGACTGATGTCGTGGCTTGAGCTCAGAGGGCAACTGCTTTCAAAGACAGCACCATTTGTTAAACGCTGGAGTAAAAAGTTTTCTCTTTTCCTTTTTTCTTAGGACTCTGTCAAGTTATATGTGGGAACCCCACCAAAGCCCTTCGTGCAAGGAGGCAAAAGCTAGGTGTATGTTTTTCTTGTACAGTTCGTATTCCTGCCTGTCGACCCCCATAAATCCTGGGATAAACTGAACTGCCACTGTGTCATGAGGCAGCTCACTCTCTTCTGTAGCCCGAAAGCCCCCCAACATGCAATTGGCCTTGAGGAGGACAGAGAGTCTCTTGTCCTGATGCTACAGAGGTGCCCATGTGCTAGCAACAATTAACCATCAGCCGTACAGGAACACATGAATATCATGTATCAGTTGCTGGCGGCGCATTCCTGTCGTCCTGGCTGAGCGAAGCGCAAGGCAGGAATGCAAAATTTGATGGTATTTCTACAACAGCTATTAGGCAAAAGATTATTTCCAGCAGTGTTTCTTTGACGTTGGTGTAAACAGTCAGATTGCTAATGCTACGAGGTCATTCCTGTTGACTAAACAAACACAAAGCCAAAGTTTGTTCCTCTAGGCAGTGGGGTGGCACCCCAGCCCTGCGGCTCAGCCGGCTCATGTCAGCAGAAACGTGGTGAGAGGGTCTTCATATGTGTGAGGGAGCGCAGCCTGGCTCATCGTTGTTGGCTTTCACGGGCCGTGAGTTCAGCACAGCACAGGTGCACGTGTGTGCATTTAAACGGGCTGTGCTAAACCAGGGAGCAGCGTGCACAGGACACCCGTGACGCTGCGCTGCCGGCAGCCTCGTTTAATGCTGACAACGGTCCTTAAAGAACCGCTGGAAAAAATGTGGCCCCCCCCTTTGTCTCCCTGCTGACACTGCCCGAGCACTGGAAGCTTCTCTGAAACAAATTTGAACATCCGAGTGAATTACTGTGTATTATAAACTAGCATGTGGAAGGGGATTGCAGTCATACGCTGAATGATGCAGTTTCTGTGGTACTTGTCTTAATATGCTTATTGGTATAGATGCTACAGGCTTATATGCCAGTGAGACATAAATCAACATTTTTGTTACTGCCACCCTGGGTTTCTTGAGCTGTAACAGTGCACGCAACTGGGGCATGGGGCTTCTTAAAACTGAAGAGCAAGAAAATGGTGAGGGGTGATCTGAAAACTCAGGAGTAACAAGCGGACTTTGGTGCCTTCTAAAATCCATAATCTAGAAACGAATCTGAGGTTATCAAGATAACTTCTGTCATTTTTGCAGCCACCTGCAGTGAGCCCTTTGAAACTGTGCAGTCTGAGGACGGAAAACCTTTGCGGCTCTGGAGGAGGAGGAGGATGTCTGCACCAGGAGGATGTGTTCTCTGAACTGAGAGAGCGGAGAGAGCAGCACAAGCGGTAAGACCACCGGAGAATTCTTGTCATGCAATAAAACGGGCATTCCTTTTCAGCTGTAATAATAAAATAAACTCTCTGGCCACCTGGTGACAGTTTCAGGGAAGAGTCTTGGCCTCCTGCCTTCCCGTCCCTGCAGTGAAAATCCTTCCATCAGTCCTCCCCACTAGAGAACCTGCAGGGTGGGCAAAGGAGAATAAACCTGGGGAAACTCTGAGCTCTCTCTGGAGCAGGCTGAAGACCAGCATAGGCAGGGTGGGCTTGCTTGTTTAGCAAGAGCAAGGAAATGACTTCGTAACTGGGAAAGATGTTCTTGGCCCTGACAGTGTCTACCTTCAGACGGTAGAAGAAGTGAAAGTGGATGAGTTTTTCTTCAAGCATCACCTTGACCTAGCCAGATGAAAGGCTGAATGGAAAAGAACACCATGCCGAGACTCCCCTGTCTCATAGACAGATAATGGTTGTTTTGGGAGTAAAAAATGGCTTTATTTCTCTGAGCTTACTTCACTGTGTAGTATTTTAAATCTGCACCATTTCACTTGATTAACTTTAGGACACTTGCAGATAATCAGGCACGGGCATCTTGGACGGCTAATCCACGTAGAATGTTTTTCTGTATCTCCAGCAAAGTGGGAAATCACAGTGGGTGACTAAGTCCACTGCCTGGGTGCTTGCCTGTGCGGCCGTGCCGAGCTGCGCTTGGCTGGCTGCACAGTCACAGCTCAAAGGCTAATGAAAGGTGTGATACTTGATGCTGTGCAGGTGCCTGCAAACAGGTCAGCAAGAAAAAGCTGCCCGAACACTGAGGGTAACTCTTAGTGATGAGGAAGAGGGTGAGGTCTGCAGCCCGACTCACAGCTGTGAAGATGCATTGAGGGAGACCCGTGATGAGCACCTCATCGAAAGGATTTCACTTGATTCTTCTTGCCACTCCTGTCTCTCCCAGTCTTCCTCAGGTACTGGACCTAAACCTCTGGGAAAGGGTTAGCACTGGGTAGTGACACGTGCTACTAACTGTTTGTAGATAGGTGTATTAGTAACTGCAGTGTTTTATGAGATCTGGCTTCTGTGCTCTAGAGCAGCAATTTGGAAATATCATTGCAGAGCCAGACCCTAAATAATCCATTCCAATTTTTACACAGGACATGGCCAGCTGTGTTGACCATCAGTTGATATATTTCAGCATGGATCTGTAGAATTAAGAGGAATAAAGCTGATTTTACACCAGTTTAGAATCAAGTTTAGAGGAAGGGCATGCCTCTGTCTTTTGCCTTGTGTCATTAATTTATGGCAGTGCCATGTGTGTCTAAAATACTGTCGTTCCAGCTGAGCTATATTTTACCCCATTTGGCACTGATGGAAATAATGGCTGAGCTAATGATTTAACTGGGCAACTGGGAATTCTGGAAAGGTATGCAAGCAAAGGGATGCGTTCAGTAAGGAGTTTAAAAATGAAACATGCTCTTCTATTCAGGAACAAAGCCGAAGGCCTCTCTGGAATTGCATTTACATGAATGAAAACAAAATACACTAGTTGTTGAATATTGTATTTAAGAATATTAGAAATATTAGGTTATTCCAAATACATATTGAGTAGAGGAGCTTACAAAAGTACAACTTTAATCTATTTCTATTTTTTTTTTTCCTCAATAAATATCAGTGAGTTTTTGATTTACATTTCTTTCAAGGGCAAAAATGGACCTATTAAAATTTGGAAAAATACAATACATTTTGGAAAAAACAGAGGTACCATTAAACTATTCAAAGCTTCTGTGTATTAAGAGTAATATAAACAGTATCTCCTTAACAAGAACAGAAACCATTTGGAAAAATCTAAAGGAATGGGCTGTTGTCCAGTGACCACATAAGTCTTAGATTATGATCTCATGGTCTCTTTAGATTTAATCTGATTTTCTTTAGATTTAATCTGATCTTCTTTAGATTTAGCATTATTTCTTTAGATTGAGTATGATTTATTATGATCTCATCTTCTTTGTAGATTGAGTAGACAGTGCCCCAAACATCTCACAGCATCCCAGCGTCATGCCCTATAGGAATATGAAAGTGAATGGTCGGGCACAGCTCTGACCATTGTGTAACCAAATCTGCTGGGATTTGGTTACAAGATTGATGGAGTGGTTTGAAATTTGGTATTACCTAAGGGGGGGGGGGGGAGGGACACAGATGACACATCCCAAATCACAAGCAGATGGCCAACATAACCAAAATGCAAATAATCACAAACCCAGTAGCCTTTGCCCAGTCACTATCAGACAAATGTGTTTAACAACTGATAGGCTATATTCAGCAAAGCAGTTAAAAACACACTTGACCTCTGTGACTCAAGACTGTGTCGAGAGTTGGAGAGGTATTTAAATGCCTCAACACTTGACTTCAGAAGTGTGTCCTACCCAGTGTGGTTTTCTCACAGAAGAGCTTGTTACTGGAAACTATCCTTCTGAGCAAAACCACTCTTATGTAAAAGTGTTTGCAGCATCAAATCCATATAACCTGCACTCTTTGGAAGTTGGTGAGTGTTATTTCAGGCTCTTGAGTCAGGCATACCAGTCTTTCAGAGTGTCTTTACTTAAAAACAAATAAAAAGCCCTATGAAATTTAGATATGCTAAAAGCATATAGTATGACGGAAACTGTTCAGTGAAAAACTTTAATCGGCTTCATGTGGTTACCTAAGCAGTAAAATACATCCCCATCAGTTAGGAGCTATAAAGCTGAACTTTCTGGGCCTGGGTTTTGGTGGCACATTCTTTAGATTGTGTTCCTGCCCCCAACTCTGCACGTCAGGCGCTTAGGTACAGTTGGTTCTTTTAATAGACAAGAGCAATTGGACCCCTGCTACATATAGAATGGTTTTAAGCATATATGCACGCATGTTATATTCATAAGTCAGCAAGAAGATTTTTCTTGCAGAGTATGTTGCCACCTGAGGATCACATGGGCTAAAATATGAACAGCCAGGTAGTAGCCCTGCATGCATGCAGTGCAATATTTTCACTGGCAGTTGGGCACTTTCCGTAATTTTAAAGCTAATCTCAAGATTTTATTCTTACACCTCTGCCTCTGATTAAAAAAAAAAAAAAAGTGGATTCACTCATCTGTGATTATTCCTGTGCCTTGGATTTCAGATCGCTGGCTGCGGTCCTCGAGTATTTAAAAGAAGTCAGTGCAAACACTGGCCAGGAATGATGCAGATATGAACCTGCCTGAGAAGGTGGGGATGAGTGAGCTGATCTGTCCCTGTTGAGCTGTGCGTGGCTCGTGAGCAGTTCCTGTGCTTGGCACATCACCAGCAGTGCTGGCGGGGAGGCTGCCCGGTAACCCAAACCCCCGACGGCCAGGGGAACCGATTCAACGAGGCCGGAGCTGCTGTGTGCCCTGGGACACATCTGCCCACCCAGCTCCGTCACACAGCGGTCTCCGAAACCTTTTGCTCACTGGGTTGGTCATTTAGGAGTAAGATGAGCCGGTGAATCACTGTGCACCCCTGCCCTGTTTCAGGTTCATCACAGGCTCAGGAGGGCGCAGCGTGCTCCAAACCGAAACACTGTCTAATCCCATCCCCTCCAAAAAGCCCTCCACCTGCATCTGTAACGGGCGGTGCAGCAGGACCCTGGAAAATGAGGAACCGCAGGCTAAGATGCCTCAGAACACCCAGGCAAGAGGAGGACAGGCAATGGACACGGCAGTGCCAGCCAAGGGCTCATCGGGAAACTTCAGCCCAGGCTCTGGGCAAGGAAGGTGCTCTCGTGAGCCAGCACGGCGTGCCGGCTGCCTCGGGGTCCCCAGGGCAGAGCCGGCCCGCTGGGAGCACGGGCTGGCAACGGCCCCTGTCAGGACCAGCAGCTGTTGGATCCAGAAGCAGCAGGTATGCACGCTGCCGGCAGCACTGCCCGCAGCCTGGCCGCGGAAAGCAGAAGGGACTTGACGACAGGAAAATGCAGACTTCGGTGCTGTCTCTGGAGTCTCCTGCCTGTTCTGTAAGAAGAACTCCTTTTATTTGTGCTGGCGCTTACCTTTGTGCACCTAATGCTAAATGAAACATTTTCTCATGTTCCTTACAGCTTGAACATTGGAAACCTTGTCTTCTCTTGAATAATAGCCCAGAATTTTCCTGTGTTCTTACTGCTCCATTCTCATATTCCCCATGCAGGGCCGATGCCCATGTCTGTTGCAGGGCTCTTGTACTGGCACTTGTTTAAGACTTTCCCTGGGTAAACCCCAGGACAAGTTCCTGACATCCCACTTACTTTTTTTCTCCCTTGAATCTTACATTAATTAATATGAAAAAGAGCTCTGGAAAATAAAGTAGGCACTAGAGAAGTGTCACATGCACCAAAACATGGTTATTTCTGAACCCACTTACTGCAAGATTAGCACTGTGTTGATTGTTTGAAGAAATAAAACTGAGGAGTTGTGACGTGACATCTTGATTTTGAAGTTAACCTAGTCATTATAGAGCAGTACAGGCAGAGAGTGCGTGCCCCATTTGGGAAGCTGGTGTGCCTTGTGCTGCTCCTGGGCTTGGCACCTTTCAGCTGAGTTTTCAGAACAGGAGATGGCAGAGCTGGTGGGGAGAATGCAGATATCCAGCCCCAGAGTGCAATTTCACTGCAGCGTGTGTCTCTTTTCCTCAGGCCCATGGTGGATGAGAGCCCCCCTGGAGAGATCAACCACCACCAGCCAGCTGTCTGCTCGTCCACAAAAGCCTCGGAGAGGTTTGGGCTGATGCATGCTGCTTGGCCCCTGACTGCCAGGGCCATGCTGCAGTCATTGCCAGACAGACCCGCTGCCTCAGCAACGTCTCAGAACAGAAATCCCCGGTCCTAGAAGATACCCAGGTGGCAGCATGTGTTGGAGCCATGCACACAGCACCATCTTGGAGGACCGATGCTATCTTTCAGCTTCTTCTGCAAGCTAGACACAGAGCTGTACAAGTAGAGCAGTTCAAACAAACGACATGATTTGCCTCAATTAAGGCTACAGCTGCTCCAGAAATACTTGCTTTAAAGAGCACCCACTGATCAACAGAAGAGCTAATTAACCTCTTCTTACGGAAAAACAGGGTTATTTTTGCAGCCTTCATGCACTAAAAGAGAACGAGTCCTAACGTATTTCCTCTCATCCACACCATGTGCTGCTCCGCGGGTCAGGCAGGGACACTGAGCCAAGCCGAGCATGGAGCCTGCGCTTTGTGGAGTGGACTGGAGGAGGTGAGGGACACGGGGCATTCCCTGTCACGCCCAGCCACCTGACCCAGCAGCAGCCCCGTGGTGTATCTTTTGCAGCCCTGGATGTTTAACATGCAAGGGACAAAGCCAGGGGCTGGAGAGGAAGCGCTGACGGGAGCGGGCTGTAAGGGAGGGACGCGCTGCCCGAGGAAGAGCCCAGGAAGGCTGGGTGGCTTCAGACCTTATGTCCCCACAGGAGCTCACCCCATTCACAGGCCCCCGAGGGCCTTGTTCCCTGCATCACTGTGGGAGCGAGTGCTGACCAGGTGGCTCATCCCCATATTAACGTGTTTGTTTGCTTCGTAGCATTTCTGCTGCTTCCTATGGGGAGACGTTGCACGCCGGGACTGCGCTAGCAGGGCTGACCTCTGTGAGCAGGTGCCAGAGCATCCCCTGAGTGTGCCTTTAGAGCCAGGCATCCCACCTCTCGCTTTTTTAGATCAAATAGGCTTTCCAATTTCCTATATCCAAATAATTTTAAGTAGTGCTGCGTCAAAAACAAGGCAGGGAAGAGAGGGAATAATCTCTTGTTTTTCCAGTAGGGCATTTGCTTTATATTCGGGTGAGATTCAAAATATCTGTTTTAGTGACTGCAGACTGTGAGATGCTGATCCAAATGGCTGTGCCTTACAACATTATTGATGTTGCAGTCTGAAGCCAAGCGTCATCACATTTTTTTCCAGTTTAAATTACTATGTTAGCTATATATTTTTAAATCAGTTGATAAAACAGTAATTACGCGATGAGTTAATGAATTGGTTTATGTCTTCTTTCTACTGGTCAGCTTAACATAGAGAAGGAAAATAATAGAGAAAGCCCTAAAACTTCGTCTCATCATGGTGATACTTGCACCACTTTCTCCTACTGTCGTGGTTGGGGCCTGGCTGGCAGCCAACCACCACACAGCAGCTCTCTCTCCCTTCCCCTCCGGCAATGAGAAGGGACAGAGAGCCAGGCTTGGGGTTCGAGATAGGACTGGGGTGGGGAAAAATCCCCCTTTATGGTCACGAGCAAAAGGCAGACTCGTTAGGGGAAGAAAAAAAAGAACATACATTTATTACAGACACTAACAACAACATGTAACAGAGTAGGACAGTGAGAAGCATTGCCACATCTTGAGAACACCTTCCCCCCACCCCTCCCTTCTTCCCGGGCTCAGCTCTGCTCCCGATATCTCTACCTCCTCCCCCAGTGGCGCAGGGGCAGGGAATGGGGGGTGCAGTCAGTGCTGCCACTTCCCTTCTCTTCGGTGAGGGGAGTGTCTGGAACTTGTTCCCCCTGCTCCATCATGGTCCCCCTCTCACAGCAGACAGTCCTCCACAGACTTTCTCCGACATGAGTCCCTCCCACGGGCCGCAGCGTTCCCCACACTGCTCCGTCATGGGTCACTAACTTCCTCTGACTGGATTCCCTCCCACGGCTGCAGCCCTTCCCGAGCTGCTCCGGCGTGGGACACCCCCGCATGCTGCAATCCTCCCAGCACTGAATTACAGCAGCGGGGCTGCCTTTTCCCACGAGACCCCGGCCTTCTTTGGGCACAGAACCCTTGATCATACAAGCAGAAGCCACAGGCCATAAATCAATGTCTGCTCCACCGTAGATCTCCATGGGTGGCGGGGGGGGCCACCCTGCCATCTCCCCACAGGATGCAGGGGGGTCTCTGCCCCGTCACACCTCCCCCCTCCTTTCTTCCTCCGTTCCTCCACTGACCTTGGTGTTCACGCAGCTGCAGCAACTCTTCCTCACCAGCCTCACTGCTCCTCACCACGTCCCTTCTTAAGTATGTTATCGCAAAGGCGCAGCTGATGGGCTCAGTTTCCCAAACAGAAGTGGAGCTGACTTGGAGCTGGGGGAGCTTCGAGAAGCTTCTCACAGGGGGCCGCCCCGATAGCCCCCTCCCCTGCCACCAAAAAACTCCACCACTCACTCAACCCAGGACACTAGGGCAGCTAGGCGGGTCTGCACGTCCACATCCGTGGATGCAGAACACTGGGCACGGATCTGGGAAGTAGTCTCAAAGTGTCCGTGAGCTCGTCTCGCGGCAAACAACTTGGATTTGTATGTGCACGGGGCAAGGAGCTTCTCTGTGGTGGAGAGGACTTGGAGAAAGGGTCAGGAAAAAAGCTCTGCCCTCATGCGTGGGAAGTAAGAGTCACTGAGGGCTGCACGAAAACCACTGAACTCGGGGGTTTCCTGCTGTAACCTGCCCTCAGGTACCCCAGTGGTAACTCTCAGGGGTGCAGGCAGCCTGTGACCTTGAAAACGGCCCCCCCCCCCCCCCCCCCCCGACTAACCAGCTGTGCCCCGCCGATGGCCGCCGTGCCGTGTGGTGGCCTGGCCCGCGTGTGCGGGGACACAGGGGAAGGTGTCCGCTCTGCCCGCTGATCGCTGTGCCGGCCGGTGACCCAGCGCCTTTCCCGGGGGTGCATCGGTAGGGATGGGCGTGCAAGAGGGGCTTCCAGCCGCCCGGCGCCGTGCCCCGGCAGTGCCGCCACGGGGGGGCTCGCCCCCAGAGCCGACGCGAAGGCCCCGAGAGCGAAGCGGTTGGCGTGAGTGCTGGGGCTTCGGTGGCACTGTGCCGCGGCAGCGAGCGGCAGTGGCAGGAGCTGCAGCCCTGGGGGGGGGACACACGACGTTTGCACCGCGGCTTCTTGACATCTGAACCTCCGGGCTACGTGCAGGAGAGCAAAAACCTTTGCTCCCGGATGGACCCTGTGGGCGGGAGGCCCCACGCTTCCCCGGGAGGCGTGCTCGGTCTTGAGCTGCGCTGCTGAGCAGAGCCCGGGGCAGGAGGCCTGAGGAGGATGCTCCCGTGCTCAGCGAAGCCACGACACTTAGCTCTTGGGCGCTGCTTTCCGCAGGTGGATCCCCAGCCGTGTCACCCAGCAGGGCATTCAGAGACCGAAGGCGAAGTGACTTGGCAGCAGAGCAGTGGCACCAGACTTCCCTCTGTCGTGCACGCGTCTTGTAAAGGTGGTTTTGTCACAGGGAGTGGAGGAAGACGAATTAGTTCTCAGCACGTGGAAGCTTAGCACGTAGCAAAGCCAAGCGTCGGTGGACAGCTCTGTCAGAAGCACAAGTTTTTTGCACGCCACCTTCATTGCGTCCTTTCTGGGCGATCTGACCTGCTGAGTGGTATGTGCAAGAGTGTGTGCTCTGAAGCGAAACGCGTAACGAGCCCAAGCACCAGGCTGTCACACGTGGAGCAGCGGGGAGGCTTCTTCGGAGGGCAAGCTTGCGATCAGAGCCTGACCTAACGGGGAGGAAGGGCTGGCAGCCTCTCTACCAGTAGCGGGTGCACCTCAAGGTTTTCCACGCTGTTGTCTGTTGGGAGTTTCCAGGACAAGCAAAATAAATGGGGCTGTTGCAGATCAGATCTACACGGCTATAACAGATCCACAGAGGAAATTGTTGCTCTGGTTTTAACCTCTGCTAATCCACCTTCCACCTTTTTCGTCTAGAAAATGTAAAACCCAGCCAGGGCTTTAATAGGCTAATTAGGATGTCAGGCATGACGGGCTACACATGAATTCGATTCTCTTGGCCCAAAAGGGAAACATGCGGGGAGTTTCATCGTGGGTTTTCTTGTCACTATTTCCTCTGTTAAAATCCTGCATTAGTCCCTTGAATATGGACGAAGTCATTTAATGAACAAGCCATCCCTGCTTTTGCAGACTCTATTAATATTTATCTTGATAGGATCCTTGCTTCCAGTTGGATGCGGCCAGTTTCAGATATACGTTATCAGGGACAATATCCTCGTTCTTGTAATGGGTCGGGAGCTGCTGATGCCTTTAACGATCTCGCTGCCTTAATGGGCGTTGCTGCCAGCTGCTAAATTGATATCTAGTGTGTAAGCAGGAGAGAGGGGCGAGGACTGCTCCCCCCTCACCTATGAATAAATCAGCATCACTGGGAAGAGTTTTCTGCCCGGGGCTAAGACTCATCAGCTCATGCTGCTAAGGGAGGGGGTGCATAGCTGGGGGCAGCTCCCCTAGTCCAGGGAGCAGGGCTGGGAGCAAAGGGATTTGGCCCAAAGCGACGATGCCGCGGCGTTAGCATGAGCACGGTCCATCCAGGAGCCTTCTCAGTATCACTTAGCGAGCGTCCTGCGAGCAGTTCTGCTGGAGAGGCTGTGCTGCCCTGCACACTGAAAGGCTCTGCTCGGCCGGAGCTTTAAAAAAATGGTTGGAGAAAGAAGCAGGGAGCTGTGCCAGCCAGCCGGTTATTTCAGCGTCTAAAAATCCTTCCTCCTGAAGGGAGCGTGTCTGGCACGGCATCCCGCCCAAACGAACGGGCCCTGGCAAGAGAGGGCGGCTCCTGCTCGGGCTCGGATTGCGCTCTGCACTGCCCGGCCTGGTGCAGGGACCTCAGCCCCCCACCTGGGGACAGGCCAGCGGGGCTGCCAGCCCGTGCGGTGTCTCCATCGCACAGCTGTGTGCACCTCCTGCGCAGGGCTGCTGGCTCTCGGGCTTCTTCCCGAGGCCGTTACTCTCGTTGAAGGCTTGGGCTTGCTTTGCACCTGGAATGAATTCTTCTTCATCGCCAGATGAAGAGGAGAGGCTTTGGCTGCCGAGGAGGAGAAATCCTGGGAGACATTCAGGAGGGAAAGACTCATATGCACCTTCCTCTTCAAATACATACGAGTGATAAGTCAGCTCAGGCTCATTTCCTACACGGTTCCTTGGCTTGCCACCATGTTCAGAGCCCAACACGCTGGGGCTCACTGCCACAGGCAGTGTCTGCACCCGTGGACACTTCTGGGGTATGCTTAGTCAGATGGTTCATGCTCCAGCAGTGCCAGTCTCTCCACTGATAAAACAGGGCTTGAGACATCCTAAATGTCTGCTTGTTACCATCCGATGCCAGGTGGGATGCATCCTGCCCTGCAGTGGCTTTCTTGGCATGCCAGAGTATCCTGTCCATGTTCTTCTTGTTGGCAGCATCTTGCTCCTCTGAAGTTCCCTTGGGGGGCTACTGGAAATGTCCCGGCTGAGGCAGAGGGCCAGCCTTGAAGAGTGGAGGTGGCACAGGGGTGTGTGACCACTGGGGCAGGCCTACGAAGCTTTTGGACCTTCCAGGGAGGTGCGGGCAGGTAGGGCAGGGCAGCTGCAGGACGGCAAGGAGGGCTTGTCCTGGGCTGAACCGAAGGTGCCACCGCAGTCTGTGAGCTGGTGCTGCAGGCGGAGAGCTGGCCTGGTGCATCTGGGAGGGCAGATCTGCTGCCTGGTCCCCAAACGAGGGGGATGTCTGTCATCTCTGTCCCCAAAGCAGGAAACGCTGGCCAGACTTGTAGAAACCAGTCCAGCTAGCTGGGAGGTGACCCAGGTGGTGGAGATCCTGCCTGGGAGGTTTCTTGCTGCCACTGGAAGAAAGACAACCTTGTGGTGACAGCCTTGATCAAGCCTCGGGGGAAGTGGAGTCATCTTCCAGCTCTGCACTGGTTTCCTGCAGCCCAAAGACAAATGATGTGGTCTGAGAGGAGGTGTAGCATGGTCTTACACGGGCAACAAGAGCAGGGGCTTGCTCCGACCTTGTCTCTCAAACAAGGCATCTGCCACTGGCGTGTCCACTCCCTGTTGCCATCAGAAGCCTCATTGCACCTGCGCATCCCCAGCTGGAGCCCAGCGTGGTTGTGCTACAATGAAGGGAGCGAGTGAGATAATATTTAAAGCGTGCCAGGGGACGACGGCCCTGCGAGAGGATCCTCCCGCACGGCACGGCGTAAACCAGAAA